ATACGTCGCAGGTGACGAGCGTCGGCGGAGGGCCGCCCAAGCCACCACCAGTGCCGGCGGCGCGAATAGGCACGTGTGCGACGCGGTAACACGGAACCTTGCACCCTTCGCCCTTCTCATCACTGCCCCGGCGCCCACGCCTCGACCTTCTTGGGCAGCAGCTGGTTCGACAGGTCCTCTCCGTGGCCTAGGCAGCCGGCCTCGCCCTTGCCCCAGGTAAAGACGGCACTGTCAGCGGTGATGGCGAGGCTATGCTGCCACGCAGCCGCTACGGACACGAAGCGCTGCCCCGCCAAGGCCTCGACCTTCTTCGGCAGCAGTTGGTTCTGCTCGTCGCCGTGGCCCAGCTTGCCGCAGTCTCCAGCGCCCCAGCTCCAGACGGCGCCGTCGGCGGTGAGGGCGAGGCTGTATTCGCCTCCAGCCGACACAGCGACGACGCGCTGCCCCGCCAAGGCCTCGACCTTCTTCGGCAGCTGCTGGTTCTGCGTGTCGCCGTGGCCCAGCTGGCCTTCGTCTCCGCTGCCCCAGCTCCAGACGGCGCGGTCGGCGGTGAGGGCGAAGCTGTGGGAGTATCCAGCCGACACGGCGATGACACTCTGGCCCGCCAAGGCTTCGACCTTCCTGGGCCGCAGCTGGCGCTGCTGGTCGCCGCGGCCCAGCTGGCCACCGTCACCAATACCCCAGCTCCAGACAGCGCCGTCGGCGGTGATGGCGAGGTTGTGGATGCCCACAGCCGACACAGCGACGACGCGCTGGCCAGCAAAGGCCTCGACCTTCTTCGGCAGCAGCTGGTTCTGCTCGTCGCCATGGCCCAACTGGCCAAAGCCTCCATCGCCCCAGCTCCAGACGGCACCGTCGGCGGCGAGGGCGATGCTGTGCATGCCTCCAGCCGACACAGCGACGACACGCTGGCCAGCAAAGGCCTCAACCTTCTTGGGCAGCAGCTGGGTCTGCTGGTCGCCGTGGCCCAGCTTGCCCCAGGCTCCACCGCCCCAGCTCCAGACACTGCCGTCGGCAGCGAGGGCCAGGCAGTGGAAATCTCCAGCCGACACGCTCACGGCACGCTCGCCGCCCAGCGGGGAAGGGAGGCGGGTCGGCGTGCTGAGCCGCGTCACACCCTCGCCGTGACCAAGGAGGCGGCCTGGGCCACCCGCGCCGCCGCACGACGAGAGCCGCCCCTCGCCGACGATGAAGACGCTGTGAATCTGGCCTGCCGCCGCCCTCGCCGGCGGGTTGGACTCGCACAGCAGCGCCGAATAGCACAGCCACCGCACGGCGCAGCCCTCACCTCTCGGCAGCGCCGGAAGCTCGAAGCCGCGCATTTGCGCCCACAAGCGGATGCCCTCCAGCGCGAGAGAGGCGTGGAAGAGCAGCGAGACGGCCGCGGCGCGAGCGATTGCGAGGGGGGCGTCGCAGCTAGAGGTGGCGCGCACGAGGACTTCCGTGGGGAGGTCGAGGAGGCGGGTGGGCGGCGGCGTGTCTGGAGAGGGGGCGGCGGTGGAGGCGGAGGCGAGGCGGCTCGAGCGGCGGCGCGGCGGGGTGGACATCGCGAGAAAAAGAAAAAAAAGGGCCCACATCTTCTTCGAGAATTCTTACACATCAGACATCACGCCAGAGCCGATGTTCAGACAACACCCGCTCAGAGCCGCGGGTCGTGGACATCGCGAGGAAAAGAATTTTACGGCGAAAGAAATCTAGCCGCTCACAAAGAAAAACTAGAGAAGAAGAATTTTAGAGGAAAAGGCGGTCGCACGACACGATTCGCGCGACAGGCGAGGCGCGGGCGACGGCTTCCTCAGCGCACAGCGGAAGCCGTCTCCGCGCTCACCCACTCCCCACCCCGACATCCCCACCACACCCCACAACCCCGCCCCTAACCCGACCCGAGCAAGAAATTCAGCAAAAGAAATTCTGCGCCCGCGTCTTTAACTCCAAACTCCGGGGCGGGGAAGTGTTTTTCTGGCTGAGCTGCCCGAGGGAGGCGGCGCATTGCGATGCCGACGACGGCGATGCCGACAGTGACGGCCGCAAGTTCGCCGCGGAGGGCGGCCGCGGCGACGGCGAGCCGACGTCGGCGACGGCGAACGCTCCATGGAGTGCGGCGGCGGCGGCGGCGAGCTCATCTAGTCTCACTGCCCCGGCGCCCACGCCTCGATCTTCTTGGGCAGCAGCTGGTTCGACAGGTCCTCTCCGTGGCCTAGGCAGCCGTCCTTTCCCTCGCCCCAGGTAAAGAAGGCGCCGTTGGCGGTGCGGGCGATGCTGTGCCCGCCTCCTGCCGACACAGCGACGGCGCGCTGGCCAGCAAAGGCCTCGATCTTCTTGGGCAGCCACTGGGCCTGCTCGTCGCCGTGGCCCAGCTTGCCGCAGTCTCCATCGCCCCAGCTACAGACGGCGCCGTCGGCGGTGATGGCGATGCTGTGGGAGATCCCCGCCGAGACAGCGACGACGCGCTGGCCAGCCAAGGCCTCGACCTTCTCGGGCAGCAACTGGCTCTGCTGGTCGCCGTGGCCCAACCGGCCTTGGCCTCCATCGCCCCAGCTCCAGACACTGCCGCCGTCGGTGAGGGCGAGGCTGTGGCTCTCGCCAGCGGACACAGCGAAGACGCGCTGGCCAGCGAAGGTCTCGATCTTCTTCGGCAGCAGCTGGTGTTGCCGGTCGCCGTGGCCCAACCGGCCAAAGGCTCCATTGCCCCAGCTCCAGACGGCGCCGTCGGCGGCGAGGGCCAGGCTGTGCATGCCTCCAGCCGACACAGCGACGACGCGCTGCCCAGCCAAGGCCTCGACCTTCTTGGGCAGCAGCTGGTCCTGATGGTCGCCGTGGCCCAGCCCGCCCCAGCTTCCCCAGCCCCAGCTCCAGACAGCTCCGTTGGCGGCGAGGGCGAGATTGTGGCTCCGTCCAGCCGACACAGCGACGACGCGCTGGCCAGTCAAGGCCTCGATCTTCGTCGGCTGCCACTGATGCTCATGGTCGCCGTGGCCCAGCGCGCCCAAGCCTCCCTGGCCCCAGCTCCAGACGCTGCCGCCGCCGGTGAGGGCCAGACAGTGGTACTCTCCAGCCGCCACGCTCACGGCGCGCTCGGCGCCCAGCGTCGACGGGAGGCGGGTCGGCGTGGTGAGCCGCGTCACCCCCTCGCCGTGGCCGAGGAGTCCTGAATAGAAGGTCGGCGCAGTCGGCGCATTGCCGCACGACGAGAGCCGCCCCTCGCCGTCGATGAAGACGCTGTGGGAGGAGCCTGCCGCCGCCCTCGCCGGCGGGTTGGACTCGCACAGCAGCGCCGAATAGCACAGCAACCGCACGGCGCAGCTCTCGCCCTCCGGCTGCGCCGGCAGCTCGAAGCCGCGCTCTTGCGCCCACAAGCGGATGGCCTCTAGCGCAAGCGAGGCGTGGAAGAGCAGCGAGACGGCCGCGACGCGAGCGATGTCGGCGGGGTCGCAGCGAGAGAGGGCGCGCACGAGGAGCTCCCTGGGGAGGTCGAGGAGGCGGGCGGGAGGCGGCGTGCTTGGCGAGGGGGCGGCGGAGGAGGCGGAGGCGAGGCGGCGCGAGCGGCGGCGCATATTCACACACTAGTGGGGGACCTGCGGCGGACCCGCCTCTGTTGTTCGGGCAGTGAGAGACGCAGGATCTGCACGCCAAAGTGGGGCCACTCCGCATTTTCATTTTGGTTTTGGGTTGTCGGAGATCATCCATCAGCACTCATAAGTCAGTCAAAGCAGTCGTGGCACGTGAGCAGAGTCGCTGCATGCAACGGCGCCGCCACACGCTCCGGACGACCGACACACCGACACACCACGCACAATGGGAGGCTATCGCGCACGATCGGCCTTCGCACCCACCGCAAACACCTCGCCGCACAGATGGGGGGAGGCATAATCCCCCACACACCGGAGCAGCGCAGACACCTTACACGTCAGCGCTCGCTCGATGTGGCCGGCGCTCTCCCCTCTCCTATCGCCTTTTCAACGGCGGCGTGCGGCCACGCGCCGCGCCGAGCCGGTCTTGGCGGGAGACCTCGGAGCCGCACGCGATGCGGGCATGCGCGATGGCTCCGTTGGCTCCGTGCCTAAGGCAGATAGATTAGGGTGTGAGCTGCGGCAGCCACCGTTTCTGTACCTCGATCACGTGCAGGCCGTCGGAGGCCGCGCTGGATGGCCCAGGGCCGGCGGCGGTGAAGGCGTCCGTCGATGAAGGGATGTCGTCGAGGGAGCCATCGTCCTCCGTGGCTGGTGCACCGGTCCAGTTGTCGGAGTTCGAGATCGCCGTCGACTTGGAGAGTTCGGCCCGTTGACGAACTCACGGAATGTGAGCGACTTGGTGCACGCTGATAGTCGAGCATCATGGCTCGCACCTCATCCTGAGCGCAAGGAACTCGCCCAGGGGCCAGCTGTTGGCGTCGCCGTTTTGATCGAGCTGCATCCACTGCATGGTTTCGCAGTCAAGCGTAAACGCCCAGGAGTTGGTGCCTGGGTGACTTGCTGATGAGAGCGCCTTCCAGGCGGGTAGTCGTGCCCCTCACCTAAGGTCATGCGGCGGCGTCAGCGGGGGGGGAGGGGCGCGAAGCGTGAACATGGAGGCAAGCAGGTGGTGGCTGCACCTGGCCAAAGCCGGCGACCTCAAAGTTGTCGTAGGTTGTGCGGGTATCGCTGAGCGTGAGAGGGACTGGATCGGCAGCAGCGCGGGCGGCAGCGGCCGGAGAGGCTGGAGAGCCGTCCGACGGAGGCCGGTCGTGCATCGGCGCGTCGGCCGTAGGGGCCGGGGGGGCGGCGGCATCCATCGCTGCGGGTCGCTGCGGGCCGACGATTGTGGACTGATCGATCGTCGGCGGGCGGTGTTCTCGTGTTCAGCTGGGACGTTCTACGTTAAAAGAGCGTCGGCGCCGACACGAGAGACTTATAAGGGTAGACACATGGAATTCCAAAAGAATTATACTGCTTGCTTGAAAAGGCGCGGGCGGCTCCCGCTTTCTTCTTTTAACGCTGTGCGGGCGCGCGTGAACGCCGGCAATGTCGTCGCAGCCCATGACCGAGGAGGAAAGAGCCGCGTTCCAGGCGGCGGCGCTCGCGCGTCTTCGCAATCCGCCGGAGAGGGTCGTCCCGGACCGGCTCTTCGTCGAGGCGGCGGTCGAGCTTCGGATCCAGGCAGCAATGACCACTCCATTCGACAACAGCACGCTCCCCCGACTCACCTCCACACGAGCCTGATCGCCCACGCTCTCTCTGCGTGCGCCTCGCCACGCCGCTGCGCCGCATCCGCCACGGCACAGACCCTTCCCCGAGCCGTCTCTGACTGTCTCCAGGAGTACGACGTGCTCCAGCGGCTGACGCAGCAGGACTACAACGAGCTGATGGACGAGGTGGTGGCCGGCACCGTCGGCCGCATGACCGACGAGCGACGCGCAGAGCTGCACGCCGGAGACCTCGAGCTCATCCAGCAGCGCGTCGGCGTGGGCGTGGATGCGTGCATTGCGAGGTATGAGCAGGCGCAGCAGCCGCTCCGCTTCGTGCGGGGCGACCGCGTGGTGTGCAACATCGGAGGCGACTGCCCGTGGGCGAGCGGCTCCATCCAGGCGAGACACACTTCCGAGACACTTCCGAGACTCTTCCGAGGCCCTTCCGACGAGACTGCCCGTTGGGCGAGCGAGCGGGCGAGGGAGGTTGAGTGGTGATTTGGTATCGGTGGAGACGGAGCATGCATCGCCGTGCAGGCAAGGAGTAGGGCCCGACCAATCCTGGGCATGAGTCACCAAGTCAGGTGTGTCGGCCCTTGCATCACAGGCCACGCACGAGGAGGACCCGGCCGACCCTACCGGCCAGACAGTGCTGCCGTACGTGGTCAAGATCGACCCGCCCGAAGGACGGCTCATTAATGAAGTTAATTCATTAGTTTCCATTCATTCATTCAGGTCAAGATCGACCCGCCCGAAGGACGGCTCATCTCTGTGCCGACGGACGAGGTGGGCGCGTGCGCCGCGCCGAGGCGCTGAATGCATGGGCGTTGAAGGGCTGGCGTTCCGTTCCTTAGGTCTACGTGTGCCGAGCCGAGGTGTGCTTTGGGCAGCGGGAGGTTCGCGCGTAGCCGAGAGGCGAGATATGGGGAGATGTTGATGAGGCGGCGCTCTGCATGGGGAGATATGGGGAGAGGAGCCGCGAGAAGCCGGGAGCGAGGAGCCGTGCTCTGCCCAGGACAGCGACCGGTTCTGCCTCGGGGAGGGGCGCCGCACACAAAGCATTCTATGACTCACGGACTCTTCAGACATGGATGGGCCATCCAGCCGCGCACTGGGTGGCCCACGTGGGCGTCGTACTGCCCGCCGCTAGCTCGTTGGCCGGTCACTAGCTAGTTAGCTACGGAGGTGAAGCACAGCCAGGCCAACGACTGGGACACCAGAGCGGTCACTCACTCGCTCGCCACTAGGATGGGCTCGAGTGGACCTCGTACTGCCTGCCGCCGCCCGCCGCCAAGCCCGTCGCCAAGCCGCGCCGCTTCGCCGCCGGCGATCGCGTCGCGTGTGCGGTGGAGGACCCGTCCGACGCGTACTCCGTCTGGGCGGCCGGGACGGTGGGGGCTGCCGCTTGCCCTGTAGACTGCACTGCACGGTATGCATGTATGGTCCGCAGTGCAGTGCACTGCACTGCACTGCACTGCGCTGCGCTGCGCTGCACTGCACTGGATGCGTACCCGCAGGGATCGGCGACGTGGTAAACCCCCCCGCCCCGTCGGCCCGGTGTCGTAGAGCTCGTTGAGTCGGTTTGGTGGTGTCTGTCAGGTTGTCGCCGTCGACGTCACTCTCGACGAGGCGAGATGTGGCGAGATATGGCGAGATATGGCGAGATATGGGGAGATATGGGGAGATATGGGGACATCGACGACGCGACGCTCGACCACCAATGATCAGCTCCAACTCACATGACCGACACGTCCTCAACGCACCACAGGCGACGCTCTCAACTATCAATCATAAATGATTCGTTTTTAGCACCACAGGCGACGCTCTCAGTTATCAATCTCAAATTATTAGTCACTAGCACCACAGGCGACGCTCTACGGCGAGCACGTGAGCGGCGGCGCCACGCACACTCTCCCGCACCGCGTCCGCCTTCCAGGGCCCTTCCGGGACCCTTCCGGGACCCTTCCCCATAGGCGGCGCCGCGCACACTCTCCCATACCGCGTACAACTTGACAGCGGCGCGGCAGTGCTGGCGCACCGCCACGAGCACCGGAAGGGACCCACTCCAATGACCGGATCAGTTCATGAAGGCGCCCTTGAGTCTAGGCGCACCGCGATGAGCACTGGCTGGTCCGCGATTTGGCGCTGCAGGCCGAATGATAGATAGATAGGAAGGCGAAACACAGCCCGACCAATGTTGGGACACCAACGCGGTATGGGTGGACGCGGGACGGGCGATGACGGTCACACAGGAGCGACACACAGAGCCACAAGACAAGACACTCAGCCAACGGGGCTGCCACAGCTTCTGAGCGAACTTCCCTAGCAGGTCGAGGGGCGTAGAATTCTTAACACACAAGCCTCTCGCACAGCACATCGGCACGACAAGAGCGCGGACCGGCGCGGACTGGCACACACACCGAGGGGCCTAGCAGCAGAACTCGTGTTCATGCATCCCAACCAGCGCTCGAGAGACACGCATCCCGCTGTCGTCCGCTGTGTTCAGCTGTATGCACTGTCTTCCTACCCGTTGTACTCACGCGGTGCTCTCACGTTGGTGGATTCAGCACGCAGGCCGAGGGGCAGAGGCAGGGGGCCGGCGGCGCGCGCTGCCTCGCGCGGATGGAGCGGCGGGAGGTGGCAACTGCGAGTGTGAGGAGTGCAGCTGTGAGTAGTGCGGCTGTGAAGAGTGCAGCTGCGAGTAGGTTGCGGAGGGCGAGTGGCAGAGAGTCGACCACCAGACGCGACAGGTGCTTGAACAGAGAGGAGCCGAGAGGAGCCGAGGGGAGCCGAGAGGAGCCGAGGGGAGCCGAGAGGAGCCGAGGGGAGCCGAGAGGAGCCGAGAGGAGCCGAGGGGAGCCGAGGGGAGCCGAGATGAGCCGAGAGGAGCCGAGTATTGACTGGCGATCGCAGGTCGCGGCTTCACACCGCGCTCTGACCGCCAGCTTTGCTCCTGTCGTAGGTGCGGTCGTGCGCGCCGCCAGAGTCGGATTCCGAGGAGGAGTGAGCGAGAGGAGTGGACGCCAGGGGAGTGGCTTGCAGGGCGGCATCTCTCGGACGCACCTCAGTTGTGAGCTCCTGCGCAAGGGGCGAAAGGGGGAGGCGCGCAGCGGGGGCAGCCAAGGCGCAGACATACCACAACACGCGCTCATGCTCCACGCGGAAGGTACGATAGTTTGATGTCTCTAGATCCGATCGCGCTGACCCTTCCCGCAGGCTCGCGTACGAGGTTTCCAGGAAAGGTGTCAGCTCGACAGCTAGACCACAGTTGCGAGAGTTGGCACACAGTACATCTAGGAAGCGCCTGTCAGACCGAAAGCCCTTTGACGCTGGCGGTCAAATGGGTGCAGGGTGACCACCTCAAACTATTCTCAAACAACCTCCAACAAACCCCCCCAAAAGAAACAGTGAGAAGGTCCAATCTCAGAACGGCCGTCAAAAAAGAACTTTCCCGTCCAAAAAATCTCGTTCTCGGGTCCGTTGGCCTCTTTCGTAGGGAAGAATTTTGATACCCGTCAAGACGCCTGCTGGGGGCAGCTTTGCGATGAAGCCGTTTGTTCCCCCAGCAAGGCACACACAAGACAGATAGGAGGCGAAAGGGGATGGTGGTGGGTTCGACGAGGAGAGAGGGAGCGCGCACAGACTGACGTCAGCTCTGCTCCTGAAGGACACCTCTGAAAGACACCTTCAGAGGTGTGGTGCACCTCTGAGGCACCTCAGAGGAAACGCTGCACTTCTTTTATCGATCTCGTCGCCAGACTCCGATTTCTCTTTGTCGGGCCATGTGCCGCTTGCTCGTCCGCCCAAGTGACTCGGACGCGCGGTCGAGGGCACCCCACCGTTCCTGGGGCGCGCTGGCGCTCGCCCGCAATCGCCCCCCACCCATCCACCCTTTTGTCTTTGAGGCTGTCGCTCCGAGAAAACTTGTCTCGCAGCTGCGAGAAATTACCTTCTCGGGTCCGTTGGCCTCTTTCGTAGGGAAGAATTTTGATACCCGTCAAGACGCCTGCTGGGGGCAGCTTTGCGATGAAGCCGTTTGTTCCCCACTTGTCAACAGCAGGCGCTGGCGCCATTAACGTATCGGCGTTCTCCCACGTGATGTTGACCGGGTGGGCGGGTGGTCATGCAAGGTATTTTAAGGACAGTCACCCAGTCCGATGGAAGGTATTTTAAGGACAGTCACCCAGTCCGATGGAAGGTATTTTAAGGACAGTCACCCAGTCCGATGGAAGGTATTTTAACGTCAGTCACCCAGACGAATGGAAGGTATTTTAACGTCAGTCACCCAGACGAATGGAAGGTATTTTAACGTCAGTCACCCAGACGAATGGAAGGTATTTTAACGTCAGTCACCCAGACGAATGGAAGGTATTTTAACGTCAGTCACCCAGACGAATGGAAGGTATTTTAACGTCAGTCACCCAGACGAATGGAAGGTATTTTAACGTCAGTCACCCAGACGAATGGAAGGTATTTTAACGTCAGTCACCCAGACGAATGGAAGGTATTTTAACGTCAGTCACCCAGACGAATGGAAGGTATTTTAAGGACGTCACCCAGTCCGCAATGTGAGCAACCAAAGGAGGCAATGGATTGCGTTCCCGGGCCCTGCATGGTATTTTAACGCCGTCACCCAGGCGAGCATGGGCATGTAGTTCATGATGGTATTTTAACGCCGTCACCCAGGCGAGCATGGACAGGCAGCTCACGATGGTATTTTAACGCCGTCACCCAGGCGAGCATGGACAGGTGGCTCACCCTAGGCGAACCGTTGAGTTCGAACCGGCGGCCACGTGATCGCACTAAGTTGATTGAGCGAACTTGTCGCTCTCTGATGCGATTACGTGCCCAGCCCTGTTGGATCGGCGTAGTCGGTCGTCGAGGGCGGGCTGAAGTCCGTCCGATGACCGGCGGCACTGCCGAAGACGTAGACGCTTCGGACCATTCCGGGTCCGTCGCTCGCGCTGCGGCGTCCTCAACAGGGCAGCCTCGGAGGGCGCAGAGCGTCATCCACACGAAGGCGGCGCCTGCTCGGGATGCCCTGAGGCGGCTCTGGGGGTCGCGGATGACTGCGGCCGGAGCCGGCCGAGCCGCGATGGGAGCAGCGAAGAGGCGGAGGCCGGCCAGGTACTCGCCCACCATGTACGCGAAGCACAACCCTACGCTAGTGGATTTTTTTTCCTCCTCGGTCATGGGCTGCGACGACATTGCCGGCGTTCACGCGCGCACAAAAAATATAAGACAGAAGAAAAATAAGACATTACTACTTTTTTGGAATCAAGTGGAAGAAACCTCGCGAAATTTCTTTTCCTCGCGATGTCCACCCCGCCGCGCCGCCGCTCGCGCCGCCTCGCCGCCGCATCCACCGCCGCTCCCTCGCCAGACACGCCGCCGCCCGCCCGCCTCCTCGACCTCCCCAGGGAGCTCCTCGTGCGCGCTATCTCTCGCTGCGACCCCGTCGACATCGCTCGCACCGCGGCCGTCTCGCTGCTCTTCCACGCCTCGCTTGCGCTGGAGGGCATCAGCTTGTGGGCGCAAGAGCGCGGCTTCGAGCTGCCGGCGCAGCCGGAGGGCGAGAGCTGCGCCGTGCGGTGGCTGTGCTATTCTGCGTTGCTGTGCGAGTCCAACCCGCCGGCGAGGGCGGCGGCAGGCCTGTCTCACAGCCTCTTCATTGACGGCGAGGGGCGGCTCTCGTCGTGCGGCAATACGCCGCCCTTCTTTCCAGGACTACTCGGCCACGGCGAGGGCGTGACGCAGCTCAACACGCCGACCCGCCTCCCTTCTCCGCTGGGCGGCGAGCGCGCCGTGAGCGTGTCGGCTGCATGGTACCACAGCCTCGCCCTGACCGCCGACGGCAGCGTCTGGAGCTGGGGCAATGGAGCCTATGGCAAGCTGGGCCACGGCGACGGGCAGCACCAGTGGCAGCCCAAGAAGGTTGAGGCCTTTGCGGGCCAGCGCGTCGTCGCTGTGTCGGCAGGGCAGCAGCACAGCCTCGCCCTCACCGCTGACGGCGCCGTTCGGAGCTGGGGCTTTGGAAACTCAGGCCGGTTGGGACACGGCGACGAGCAGTGCCATCTGGTGCCCAAGAGGGTCGAGGCCTTGGCTGGGCAGCGCGTCGTCGCTGTCTCGGCGGGAATCTTCCACAGCTTCGCCCTCACCGCAGATGGCAGTGTCTGGAGCTGGGGTGCAGGAGGCGATGGCCAGTTGGGCCACGGCGACCAGCAGTGCCAACTGCTGCCGAAGAAGGTCGACGCCTTGGCGGGCCGGCGCGTCGTCGCTGTGTCGGCCGGACTTAACCACAGCATCGCCATCACCGCCGACGGCGCTCTCTGGAGCTGGGGCTTTGGAGGCTTTGGCCGGTTGGGCCACGGCGACGAGCAGATCCAGCTGCTGCCCAAGAAGATCGAGGCCTTTGCTGGTCAGCGCGTCGTCGCTGTCTCGGCGGGGATCTCCCACAGCCTCGCCATCACCGCCGACGGCGCCCTCTGGAGCTGGGGCCCTGGAGGCTTTGGCAAGCTGGGCCACGGCGACCAGCAGAACCAGCTGCTGCCCAAGAAGGTCGAGGCCTTGGCTGGCCAGCGCGTCGTCGCTGTGTCCGCTGGCGAGAGCCACAGCCTTGCCCTCACCGCCGACGGCGCCGTCTTTACCTGGGGCAAGGGCGAGACCGGCTGCCTAGGCCACGGAGAGGACCTGTCCAACCAACTGCTGCCCAAGAAGGTCGAGGCGTGGGCGCCGGGGCAGTGATGAGAAGCGCGAAAGGGTGCACAGGACTGTGCTGCCATGTGCCTATTCGTCACGTTGCGAACGTCTCCGAGAGTGGGGAGAGGCGAATCCGGGACGGTGAGGATTGTGCATGGTCCACTGTTTCCTGCGGGCCGCCCCCGCTGCTGCACCTCTGCGTGGGCCTTCTTGTTGTTGCGAGGCCGTGATGTGGCTTCCCGAGGGCATGCATGATCGCGTGTCGTACACTGTTCTCTGTTGCGGCTCTCTCCTGGGCTAGCCCTGGCGCTGGTGATGCCCTGAATTTCTGTTCTTTAGTTTTGTTGTAAATTCTGTTCTTTTCCCCTGAATTATTCGTTTTTACTACGGGTACTGTCGGGGAAAAGACGTGGATCGTGGCTGCCCCCAGCTCCCTCTCTTCCCTGCTCAGAGCTCGTCGTTTCCGTCGGGCCTCGTGAAGCCGTCGCGCCGCCCGCCGGTTCCCATGGCCAAGCTCAGCCCGAGGCTGCCGCCCGGCGCACACACGGGCGTGGCGCGCGCCCAGCTCTGCTGGAACTCGACCTCGGACTGCTCCGACGGGATGTAGTACGACGCCTGCGGCATTGTACAGGTAAGGGAAGGGTCGAGGGAAGGGGGAAGAGGGAAGGTAAACTACTCCGCCTGGTGGCAGTGTCGTTACTCCGCTGGCCGACTCCCTCGCCACGCAGTTTGTGTGACTAATAAGCGCAAGGTGTGAAGGGGGGGGGGGGGGAGGGGGGGGCACGGAGGGGGAGGCGAGGGAAGGGTGATGCGGAGGAAGGTCTAGGGGAGAGGCGGGCGGAGCGAGTACGGTCTCTAGGGTACTATGGGAGGGGCGGGAGGAGAGGACGAGAGGAGGAGAGAGCAGGCGAGGACGAGGAGGAGGGAGGCGCCTTGTGCCGCCGCTGAGCGCCGCCATACTCGCCGTCGATCACGCCCGCGCCGCCGGAGCTCCCAGCAAACGAGCTCTCGCCAGACGGCGCCTAATCAACGAACTAATTACGTCGCTCAGCAGTCTGCAAACGAGCTCTCTCCAGACGGCGCCTGCTCTCAGGTCAGGTAGACTTCTCCACACACACACGATATTGTGGGGCGAGGGCCAGGCTAGTCCCTCGCGACTCCACGTCTAGAGGAAAGGAGCCGGACACGGCATTCAAGGTGCAAGGCCGGGTGGGCGAGCGGCATCCAACGAAGGTGCAAGGCCCGGTGCGCGTGGGGGTGAGTGAGTGTGTGGGAGTGCATGTGCGCGCGCGCGCCTGCTCTCTCCCCGCGTAGAGCGAGACGGACTCGTCATCGTCCTCGTCGTCGTAGCCTAGAAGGTTCCTAGAAGGTTCCTAGAGGGTTCCTAGACGGACTCGTCATCGTCCTCGTCGTCGTAGCCTAGAAGGTTCCTAGAAGGTTCCTAGAAGGTTCCTAGACGGACTCGTCACCGTCCTCGTCGTCGTAGCCTAGAAGGTTCCTAGAAGGTTCCTAGAAGGTTCCTAGACGGACTCGTCACCGTCGTCGTCGTCGTAGCCGGCGGCGTTGCGCGCACTCCACCGCCGCGTCTCCTCTCCGTCGTCGTCGCCTAGAAGCTTCCTAGAAGCTTCCTAGAAGGTTCCACCGCCGCGTGGGGCCTCTCACGGTCGCCGCCGCCGCCGCCGCCGCAGCAGCCGGCGCAGCAGCAGCAGAGGCAGAGGCAGGTGAGGAGGGTGGAGGCGGCGGCGACGACAGCCTCCACCGTGATCTGGTACCTGGGCTCCCAGTTCGTGGAACAGGTGAGTGACTCATTTCACTCGCATCGACGTCCTCATCTGGTCAGCAGCCCCTTGGATCTGGTCTGTCTGTTACTGCTGTCTCGGCTCCTGAACCTTCCTCTCGGTCTCGGCTCCTCTCGGCTCCTTTCGGCTCCCCTCGGCCCCTCTCGTCTCCCCTCGGCTCCCCTTGGCTAATCGCTCGGGTCGGCTGGCTCCTCTCGGCCCCTCTCGGCTCTCTCTCTCTCTCTCTCTGCTAACCGCTCGGCGCCTCGAGAGAGAGGAGGGCGGCAAGAGGCGCGAGAAGAGGGAGGCCGCCTGTGTTCACAGCTCGAGGGCTGTGAAGAGGCGTGCATGGGGTGTGAAGAGGCGTGAACCGAGGAGTGAGGAGGCGTGAAGAGGAGTGAGGAGAGGAGTGAGAGGAGGTATGTGAAGAAGTGTGAAGAGGCGCGAAGCGGTAGCACAGCACACAGCGCGCCTCCGAGCGAAGCGCCGCCACAAGGCCCGAGGGGGGAGGAGACAGCGGCGGCGACGGCGGCGACGGCGGCGGGCGCGATGGCGGCGGCGGCGGCGGCGGCGATGGGGGCGGCGGCGGCGGCGGCGAGGGCGGCGAGGGCGGCGGCGACGGCGGCGGCGGCGGCGGCGGCGGCGGCGACGGCGGGCGCATGCAAAAGGGGAGCCCGAGGGACGCCTGTTCACAGCTGCAGGTGTGAAGAGACGCTGTTCACACCGCCACGCACGAAGGAGGGCAGGCCAGAGGGGCATTACCGTGATGATGATGATGTCGGCGGGCTCGACGCGGCCTAAATCTCGGGCAATCTCGGGTGATCTCGGGTGATCTCGAGAGATCTCGAGAGATCTCGAGAGGCAGTGTGTCGGCGGGCTCGACGCAGCCTGACGGGGCGCGGGAGGCGGGAGATTGGCGGGAGATTGCGTCGCATCTCCGCAACTCGGCGCAACTCGGCGCATCTCGTCTCGCATCTCGGCGCATCTCGTGGCGCATCTCGGCGCATCTCGTGTCGCATCTCGCCGTTGTCGTCGACGTCGGCGTTCTGCTCGGGAGGCGCGTGGCACGGCTCGAGGCTCGGAAGCTGCGGGGTCGCAGAGAGGGGAGGCGTCGAGCGTGTGGTGCGTGTGCGCGTGCGTGCGTGGTGCGTGCGAGAAAGCTGTGCGTAGTGTGTGTGTGTGTGTGTGTGTGTGTGTGTGTGTGTGTGTGTGTGTGTGTGTGTGTGTGTGTGTGTGTGTGTGTGTGCGTTTGAGTGGCAGAAAGATGAGAGGTTGGCTGAAGTAGCCAAGACGGATGCGTGGAGAGGCAGTGGCGCGCGAGAGGCAGGGGCAAGGGCGGCAATAGCGGCGTGCGCAGGGTGGTAGAGGCGGTGTGGCGAGGGCGCGGCGGAGGCGGGTGCGGCGCAGCCGCGTGCGCGGTGATGAAGCGGCGGGCAGGGTGGCGGCGGCCTGGACACACTCGCCGGTGGCGCCACAGCGGTAGTGGCCCTCGGCGGCGCCCGATCCGCGCCCGTGGCAGTACCGTCTTTTGTACTGCTGCGACCAGAGGTCGAGGTCCTTCTGGCTCAGAACTCCGTCGTGGTTTATATCGGACCGGCGCGCGAGGAAGCCGCCAATGACGCAGGGCGAGAGCGGCGGCAGCGGCGGAGGAGGGGCGACGAGCGGAGAAGTCTGGTGCGGCTTCTTCATGTTGGATGGACTTTGTCAGACGCCATCCCCAGAAGAATTTTGCGAATGCTTCTCTCGAGGTTCTCGAGGTGGATATCCTTTGGCCGCGTTGGGTAGCGAGGATTGGTGTAACCCGAGCCACGGAGGCGTGTTTTCTGACGGCCGACCGTCAGTGCACGGAGTTGCCCCTTCTCCGACTGCCCCGGCTAGTTCACGGGTTTCGCGGGTGTGACCCCATGCGTCAAACCCGAGACCTAGCGCGGGTGGGTTGGAGGGGCCTCGGAAAGGCGCGCAAGCACGCCCTACGTCTTCCCCTCCTCCCCATCGGGCCGCATGAGCGGCCACGCCTCGCAGATTCGTTTCCGCGCCTGGGTCAGGCGCGCGGGGCATCCCCCGGCTTTCATCCCAAACTGTCACTCCCCTTTCTCCCGGCCGAGGTGGGGCGCGCGCGGGGGCGGCGGGTGTGCGGGATGTCTGTGGGCCCGAGAGCGATATGCCATGTCCGCCTTGCGTTTGTTTTCATAACATCGAAGGCTAAGCTCAAAAAATAGTGTCCAACGCGCAGAACTAACGTCCTTGCGCGAGGAGAGCTCGATAGACTCGAGGGGCCAGGATATGCAGCGAGGAGGGCGGAGCTGTGCCGAAAGGCGCAAGAAGCCGCGAGAACAAGGGACCGGCAGGCGGCGGCGGCGTCGCAGAACGAGGCAGAGGAGAGCGATGCGACAGAGGAAGAAGCGACAAGGGATGAGAGAACGACGAGAGTGGGACGACCGCGAGGTGGCATGAAGGTTGCAGCGAGAATCGGCGAGAGACTGCGAAGTCCGAAGAGAGATAGGAAGAGGCGGACGCCCAAGGGTGGGCGACGGCTCTGGGGGGGCGCGGGGGCCCCCGGAGGCACCGTGCGCCGCGCCGCAGTGCGGAAACGGGGCCCCGGCTCCGTTAGTCTCCGTTAGCACCAACTTCCCGAATGAGTATGGTTGAGTAGAGGGCAGATTTGGAGAGATCTCGAGGAGTACATACAGATAGACCCTCCAACCATCAGAAACCTCCGACCTGATCGGTCGTACTGACCGCCGACAGATCACTGCAGACAGCAGACAGGCCGACGTCTGCACGCGGCCGGCCGGGCGAGAGGCTTGACACGATCCGACCCTGCGACCCTGACGCTGCTGCTCTAGCTATCAGACATGCACTGCTGACTGCTGCCACAATGTGCGACCTGTGCTGGCCCACTTGGCGGCCTTCCCGGTCAGTGGTGAGGCGCAGTTCAGAGCTGTCGATGGCGCGATGCCGCACTGGTCCCACATTGGTGACACGAGACCACCAAGTTTGCCGGTCCAAGAGAGAGGTACCGGCGCTGTCCTGAGAAGGTGCGTGGTCCCTCTTGACTGCCCATGCGCGCGAGCCTGCGTAGCCTCGAGAGTGGCAGCATCCAATCCGAGGCGACGCGCATTGCGCCAGAAGCGTGCACACGTTGGAAGGACAACTTCCTACTGACCGTACGATCAGGTCGTCACTGAATGCTTGATACTAAGGCCGCGAGCTATGCAGGGGATCAATTGTGCAGCAGGGCACGGTCAGCAGCGCCGACAGGCTGTCGCAAGGCGTGATAGCATGCTGGCCGCAAACGCCGAATTCCCATTGAAAAAAACAAGTAAAAATCGCGCGAAAAAAGAAAAAAAAATCGAAAAAATCGGCGCCGGCGGCGGGCCGTGGGACCCCTCCCCCGCATGGGTATCCTCTAGGGCCCCCGCGCCCCCCCAGAGGGCGACGGCTAGCGCATCACACCCCTCTCCTTAAAATCCCTGTGTGGTGGCGGCGTGCCGTCCTCCCATCCCTCCCCTGGGTTGTCCGTTTTCTTTCTTTCTTTTTTAACCCTTCGGAGACCTAGCTCCGAGTGGGGGGGGTGGGGGGGGGTCCTGAAACCTGGTACGCGGGGCTAACCCTCGAAGACCCGTCACATTAACATGACATACGGCCCTGCGCCGTGCGCCTGCCGCTGCGGTGTGAGGCTACCGAAAGTGCTACCGACTGCACTCCAAGTGCTCCAAGACCAAGTTCGATGCCGAAAGCAACTCCCACTGAGCGAGCCGCGCAACTCACTCGCTACCATCGACACCCGTGCGTGTCACACTACCTCTACCGTCCCGGATTCGCCTCTCCCCACTCTCGGAGACGTTCGCAGGTGGCGGCGAATAGGAACGTGCACTTTCGCGCTTCTCGCGCTTCTCATCACTGCCCCGGCGCCCACGCCTCGACCTTCTTGGGCAGCAGTTGGCTGGACAGGTCCTCTCTGTGGCCTAGGCAGCCGTGGCGGCCCTGGCCCCAAGTAAAGACAGCGCCGTCGGCGGTGAGGGCGAGGCTGTGGCTCTCGCCAGCGGACACAGCGACGACGCGCTGGCCAGCCAAGGCCTCGACCTTCTTCGGCAGCAGCTGGCTGTGCCTGTCGCCGTGGCCCAGCCGGCCTTGGACTCCAAAGCCCCAGCTCCAGAGAGCGCCGCCGGCGGTGAGGGCGAGGCTGTGTTCGCGTCCTGCCGACACAGCGACGACGCGCTGGCCAGCCAAGGCCTCGACCTTCTTCGGCAGCAGCTGGTTCTGCCAGTCGCCGTGGCCCAGCTTGCCGAAGTCCCCATGGCCCCAGCTCCAAATGGCGCCGTCGGCGGTGATGGCGAGGCTGTGGGAGATCCCCGCCGAGACAGCGACGACGCGCTGGCCAGCAAAGGCCTCGACCTTCTTGGGCAGCAGCTGGCTCTGGTGGTCGCCGTGGCCCAGCTCGCCTGAGGCTCCCCAGCCACAGCTCCAGACAGCTCCGTCGGCGGCGAGGGCGAGGCTGTGCCCGCCTCCAGCCGACACAGCGACGACGCGCCGGCCAGCAAAGGCCTCGACCTCCTTGGGCAGCAGCTGGCGCTGCTCGTCGCCGTGGCCCAGCTTGCCGAAGCCTCCATTGCCCCAGCTCCAGACGGCGCCGTCGGCGGTAATGGCGAAGCTGTGCGCAGCTCCAGCCGACACAGCGACGACGCGCTGGCCAGCCAACGCCTCGACCTTCTTCGGCTGCCACTGGTTCTGCCCGTCGCCGTGGCCCAGCCGGCCCCAGCCTCCCCGGCCCCAGCTCCAGACACTGCCGCCGGCGGTGAGGGCGAGGCTATGCGCAGCTCCCGCCGTCACGCTCACGGCGCGCTCGCCTCCCAACCGGGAGGGGAGGCGGGTCGGCGTGTTGAGCTGTGTCACACCCTCGCCGTGCCCGAGCAGTCCCGGCGTCCTGTTCTCAGCCGTTCCGCACGACGAGAGCCGCCCCTCGCCGACGACGAAGACGCTGTGCCGGTCGCCTGCTGCCAGCCTCGCCGGCGGGTTGGCCTCGCACAGCAGCGCCGAATAGCACAGCCACCGCACGGCACAGCCCTCGCCCTCTGGCTGCGCCGGCAGCTCGAAGCCGCGCTCTCGCGCCCACAAGCGGATGCCCTCCAGCGCAAGCGAGGCGTGGAAGAGCAGCGAGACGGCCGCGACGCGAGCGATGTCGGCGGGGTCGCAGCGAGAGATGGCGCGCACGAGGAGCTCCGTGGGGAGGTCGAGGAGGCGGGCGGGCGGCGGCGTGTCTGGCGAGGGAGCGGCGGAGGAGGCGGAGGCGAGGCGGCGCGAGCGGCGGCGCGGCGGGGTGGACATCGCGAGGAAAAGAACTTTTACACGGCTGGATGGAATTGAGAGAGAGAGAGAGAGAGAGAGTAGTTCGGGATGCGGAAGTGCAAAAGCACATGGTGAGCGGGCTGGACGGACGCTATATGAGTGGAGAGGGGACTGGAAGGGTGGAGAAATGGCTGCGTCAGAGCGAGGAACGGGAGGAGAAGGCGATTCAGTGGTCGTTGGAGGAGAGCAATCGGCGGGTGAGAGAGGAGAGGAGGCAAGCGGAGGCGGATCAGAGCGAAGAAATACAGATTTCGGAATCAGACTCGAGCGGATGCGAGGAGGAGGTGGAGACGTGGAAGCGTTATGGACGACGGAAGGGGCAGAAGAAGGCGCGGGTGGATAGAGCAGCAATGATTTCAGATTCAGGATGGGGTCAAGGCAGTCAATCAGTCGATCAGTACATGAGTCAGTCAGTGGACGAGGCAGTCAGTGGTGAGCAGAGAGGAGAAGTTCAGATGGAAGTGGAGAGCGGAGGCGATAGCGGGGCAGCGGGGAGCAGCGGGCAGAGTGGGATCGATAGAGGGGAGTGGAGAGGAGACATGGTGGGAGGAGGGAGCTATGCTGAGGAGGACGACGAGCTTATGCTGGAGTACATGGGGAACGAGGGCGTGGGCAGCGAGGAGATCGACAGGTTCATGGGGTGGACGACAGTGGATGTGGGTGAGGAGAGGTTGGGGAGACCTATGAGGGAGGGGACGTACCGTGAGCGGAGGACGGGAGCGACAGATAGGGCAGACGTACATCGAGGAGGACAAGGGAGTAAGGCTCGGAAACGCGAGAAGCACCACCGATATGCGAGTATGCGAGGCAGCTGAGCATGGATGTTGCTGCGGTGGAAGGTGGAGGGGAGGATTGGGTGGAATAAGTAACCGAGGAACCATGGTCGAGTACGAGGACGGGGGGGGATGGCGTGCCCGAGCTGGATGCCGTACAGGTTGCGGAGCCGGCCGTGGTGGCGCGCCCGAGCGTCTGTTGAGAACAGGCGATGTAAGTTAGCAGCACGTGGTTGAGTTTAGTTAGGTTGAATTCCGTGCGGGCAGGGCTGGGCAAGCGCTGTACTAGTCCGTCGGCGTCGACGGCGCCGCCGCGCCGGCTCGCTGTGCGTCGGGCGGCGCCAACGTCACTTGCGAAGGGTCGATGACGACGATCCCCGCCGCGTCGAGAACGTCGTCGCAATAGCGCGCGAGCAACGCTGCTCGGCCACTCGGTCGCGCGCCGCGGCGGTCCCGCCCACATACTCGGCGCGAGTCTCAACCTCCGCAGAGTAGTTCTGAAAGGAGTTGGTCCTCAGGCAGGCCGGGAAACTCGCGCGGGTAGTCTTCAACATGCTGAGCACATGCCGAGAGAGCAGGGCG